CGCAGGATAAGGCCATGTTCTTTAGCTGCCTTCACGAGCCTGTGCAGGGCCTTATCATGTTCCGCCTCATCTTTGCCATGCACACAAATGTCGTCGGCGATTCCCAGGATCCCTGGTCCGGCTTTCCGTATGATGTCATCCATGGGTTGCTGAAAGACGTCTTGTAACACCGATAAACCGAAAGGGAGCCTCAGAAATCTAAGCTTTCCTGCCGGACTCTGGAATGAGCACACATAGAACCTCGAATCGTGCCATTTAAAGTTTTCAAACTGTATAGGAATGTCAATAACTCCCATCTGTGGAATGACCGCTTTCTGCTTGGAATCCCCTTGCTGCTTCTTAAGACGGATTTACGTCGTCAACTTTGGGAAACATCTGGTTCAGACATTGCAATGGAAGAATGCTCCTATTTGCACCTGTGTCCGCTTTCACCGTGAGGGTGACTTTCCTTTGGCCACCAGGTGGCCTCACATTCAGCTTTGTCATAATCGACTGTCTTTCGTTTGCATCGATGTCTCTAATTACGATTACTTCGCCACAGTCGAGAGACGTCGCGCCTTGATAGGAGTTGATCGCGTCAACATTCCGGCCTCTGCTGCTCGAGCGGGGTCGTCGCATCGGATTTCCCTGCTGCTTTGTGGCGGACGTCTTGTGGTGTTTCCCATCCTTTTGCATACAAACGACTGCAAAGTGGTTCGCCTTTCCACATTTGCTGCACTGTTTCCCATACGCTGGGCATTTTTTGCGCACGTGCTTAGCCCCACAGTATCTGCAGTTATCGTGGCGTCGTGATGGGCGTTGAATGGCGTCCACTTTAACACCTGCGCTGAAGGAGGAGGAGTTTTGCATCGTCGCTTGGTAGTGCTGCGCAGACTTGACGGCATCCTTCAACTTCAAGTCGTTTCCTTTAGCGATGAGAGGTTTGCGCTCATCTGGCCACAGTATTCCTTTGATGAGCTGGAATGTAATCATTTCGTCGCGAATTGCATTGTCCGTGAATTCGCACAATTGTGGAACAAAGTGGAAATACATCAAGTTAACTGGATCTAACAGCATGCTCAGGATTTCCCGCATCTTGTACCGACAAGATGCGTCTGCTGTGGGGACAACGACAGCAAAGTAGGCTTTTAGTTCCTCCCAGTTTACCAAGATGTTATATATCACTTTACTTCGTACCAGCCAACGTGTTCGAAAAAGCTTCTGAAATGGAAGAGGAGTTAGTTTTCTTTCATCATTGGGATCAATCGTCCGGAATGGGTCTTTGAACGCGTGCCTACGGATTACACTCTTACTGAATCACTTCGGAATTTAGTTCAAAAGATATCCAAGGTTGGATGGTAGTTTGTCGATGGCATTCTCAATACAAAGTTATAGAGAATGGCAGATGCATCTATTGACTTGGCAGTTTGGGGATGCCTCTCTCACTCTTGACCATATTGAGTTATGTTCACCAACCATCTACGACGCGCCGTCACCACCAAATCTGACACAATCAATCCATTTTAAACCAAAGTATCTGATAATCTTGCTCAATGTCGCAAACAGCTCACGTCCTGTGGCCCCAACAATCGGTTGAAGACTAGCAAATTCGGTGACAACTCTTGATCTTGCATCGCTGAAATATCGGAGAACAAGACAAATGTGTTTATCTGAGGCCACATCTGTCGCTTCATCGATACAGAGAATTTCTTTTCATTTGCAACTAACCTAAGCTCTTCTTGCAGTGCTGGGGAAACGACTTTAGAAATAAGCTTACTGCACTTAGTGCGATGTAGTTGTAAGTGCTCAAGATCACTTCCTTTGCCATTCCTTTTGATTATCTCTCCAATATGATTTACATTTAATGTTGAACAATGGCAGGATATAGCCACGGCGATCTGTAACTCCGCAGGCTTGACGTCTTCATTTCGTGGTCTTCTTTGAATTACTTGAATTACTTTGAATTGATTGATGCTGTCACTGCATTTTGAGGAAAGATTTATTGTCTGCTCGAGCTTTTGGTCACCCCCACCGCTGTAAAGACACCAGGCTTGTCTTTTACAGAGAAGGAGTAACGTTCTGCAAAGTTCTCATACACCTCCTGAGGCAAGTTTCTGCAGTCTTCAAGGTAGACTGTCCCCCAGCGAAGGTAGTTTGTGCAGTCCCAGGTGGCAAATTCGTACAGTGCTCGCTGCATGGCATCGAGATGGAGGTCCCAAGAACCCTCTCTGTCGGCACGAAGAAGATCTAGGACCACCTGGAACCGAGACAAGTACTGGAACCAGAATTTGAAATTCTCGTATTCCTTGACTCTTGACTCTATGAACTCATCAAGGTCACTCGTCAGCTGAGTAGAAGAGGCTTTGAACTGATCTAGCAACTTCTTGCTGCGCTCTCGAGCTCCAGATTTCATTGCACTGCGGAGGCTGGCCAAAAGCTTAAATTCCCTGATATACTTGTCAACTCCAGTGCTCTTGAAGAATTCTTTCAACAGTAGGCGTTGCATCACTTCGGCCAGGATCTTTTGAGCATCAAGCAACCGAGAGTAATGGCCCGCATTAAGAATCGAGGTCTGGATTACAGATGGCCCGTAGATACCTGTCTCGAGCCATACATGCTCTGCACCACTTCCTGCGATGCTCCTGCCACAGCACTTCAGCAAGTTTTTAGCAGTGTGGAATGTCCCTAAACACAAGACGATGCACTTGAACTCCTCTGGTCTCCGAAGCTGTATCATTTTTGCTATACTGTACACCTTCTCATCGGCATAGAGTGGAATATACAATTGTACCAGTTGAGAACACAGGGACTTGATGTTATTCATCTCCGTGTATACAACTTCCCCGTTGTTGATGTCATGTGGCACCACGGGCGTAAATGCAACTTGCTTGAGTGGGACATTGTCATCCGTCCAAACCGCATTGCTTGCGCTCCACGATCGCATAGTTTGAGTTATCAGATTTTCTCCAAATTCTTGTAGCTGCTGACATGGCAAAACTTCCTTTAGGGCTTTCGGACCATGAACTACAGATGTGTCAGAGCGCTTGGGCTTGGATAAGACGGCCTTAGGCTTATGCTGGTAGAGAACACACACCGTATCATGTTCTGATGAATTTGCTCCTTCGTGGTCCCAGTTGTCCATTGCTGCTGATGTGAAGTTCCCTGGGTCAAAATGGGCTGGCAACTTCATGTCCGCTTCATTTTGGTTTACAGTGAACGCGACCATGTCATGCTGGTACCGGCGGAGTTCAGTGTAGCTCATGGCCAGCGCCTGTTGATTCAGAGAGGTGACAAAGATTTTGCCACCACGTCTTAGACTGGGCAAACTGCGCATTCAATACATACATTGGTGTTCTTTTTTGCCAGAATGGTGAATGTAGAACATGTTCTGGAACATGGTCTGTATTTTCCGACATCGCTGGGCTGAAAGAGAACCATCTTTGCGTGGCACGTGTTCCTCCTCCTGGTCTACATCATCGACATCTTCCTGCATGTCACTTGTTATTACTTGGTCAGCTGCGGCCCTGTATGTGGCTGGATTGAAATTAAACAAATGGCCATAAAACTGCAGGATGGGCTTTGGGATATTCATCTTTGACCAGGCTTGCTTTAAATCTTGGGCATCACAGAAGCGATCATCTAAGTCGAAGTTGTAGTCGTGCAAGCATGCTCTGAATTGAGCTGCTACGAATTGCATGGGATTCACTGATCGGATACGCTCAGCAAGTACATTTGCCTCATTACCCAACACTAAGAATACCATGAGGCATTTTCTTGCAGAATCTGAGAATCATGAATCAGAATCATGAATCAATTTTATTGAAAAATTTTATATTAAAATTTAAATACGAATTAAAAAATTTCTATAGGGATTTCGAGCGAGAACCCAATTTTTTTTTTAGCCTAGGACCTATACTACCATATAAAAATGGTTTTTCCCCTATACATATAAATGCATACAACTCAGGCCCAGCCCCTAGAGTACTAATACATATTGTCTAAATAATTGTACATTTGTATACTTTATACTTGTATATTTTATTTGAGAATTTAGTGATCAATAGACACATGTAGATGTGCTCTGACAAATAATGTGACCCGGCCAGTGAATGTAAACGTAAGTTTTTCAATTTACCCAGCAAGACAGGTGCAGCAAGCAGAGTGAATAACTCCAGATGCCTTCTCGATGCACACCCATGGCTTATGGGGATTTGCCGTACTCTTTCGGAAGGTGTGCAGTCTGCTTTGAAAAAAAACTTCCGATTCGTCTGATATTGGATGAAAGAAGACTTTTTTTCAGCCATCTAGCATCAAAACAACTATATGCCTTGCTTTATTTGTAGTCGCTAAGCAGGCGAGACTTCAGTGAAGTAGCTGGCTGGTCAGCGTCATTATAACTGGCAAGATGGTTGGCCAGCGCGATCATGGATGTTGGAGGCCAGCAGTTTAGTCTTTCGATTCTCCAAGCCACCCATCTTTCAGTTCGTTCATGGGATCGCGAAGAATATTTTCTCCACATTTTAAGAGTTCCTTATATTGGTCTGCATGACGACGTTTTTCGTCACCGGTAGGCAGTAGCACAGGCTTCTTCATATACGCTGCAGCGTAAGCAAGAGCAGCGAGTTCGTCTTTTTGTCTCGTCTTTTTCAGTGTCATATCATCGTCATTTGGGTCAGCCATAATCAATATAAGATACTAACACAAAAACTCTGATCGAAAACGCTGTGTTTACACCCTCCCCCCTCCCGCCAACAAAGTACACAACGTGGCGTTCGTCACCGCTAATAACGCTCGCGAATGACCTTTGAGATTTCCCATGATTCATTGCACAGCATGAGATACCGAACTGGCTTATTGTGACGGCGGCATAGTTTTCACATAGTGTCGGAAGGTGGCGCGGTGTTGGCGCATGCGCGAGCCGCTCGCTCTCGCTCTCTACTTGGCAGCCATTTGTGTGTATTAACCTGTTTCTCCGAATGAAGACCTTCATTTCCAAATTCCTGTTGTTATCATTATTGTGAGTGCTCCAATGAAGGCATAATAGCAAGCTTTCACAGTGGCGCCCATCGTGGGGCAGTTTTGATTTCCAAACAAAGGAATTCTGCTCGAATCCAAATCGGAGGAGCACTCGATTTTACACAGGTGATTTCTTGGAGGCCGCCATGTTCCGTGCTATCCTTTGTTATGATCGACATAATTTCTGTGCCATTGTGAGGCAAGTAAATGATGTCAACGCCTAATAAAGGGTTCTATTACTATAGATAACATAGGGGTTTCCAGTTTATGCTACTCAGTTTCAAGATCAGAAGCTGTAATAACCGGTTAATACATATTTTATGACTTGGTGGCGTGTTGTAATTTGCGTGTGTGACGTCACTCGCTGAGCCCAGCAGTGCGCAAGTAATATGGTAGGAATGCAGCTAAAACTATGTGTACGAGAAATCATAAGCCGTTCCTCTCTGCTGCGATGTCAGTAGCAAGTATTGTATATATATTGAACAGTCTCTAGTACCTGTGTGCACTGCTAGCATTTCGCAGATTGGCTCGGAGCTATTTGATCTCTGTAGCTAGTCTGCTTATGGTAAGATGACCTGAGGCACGTTATACGTGTGTCATCGAGAGACAGAACTTTATATTATTATTATTATTCGATAACAGTTTTCATGTGTGTGCGTGAGGAAGTTAATGTATGTGATTCCAAAATTATCTAACCTGCCAATCTAACTTAAAATAATTAATAATTAATTTTTTTTTTAGTAATTGTGTTACGTAACACCCTAAATAAGGATGGCCGTTGCACGCCCAAAACTGAAGGAATAAAAATGAAGTCTGATTTATTACCCACCAACAAGCGTCTGACAGTTGTTAATACGTATAAATTATGACTAAGGTATAAAAATAGATGACGCAAATATTATCAGGAAATCCCTACAGCTAAATAACAGCGTGCAACTCAATGCCAGTCTATTGCCAAAGTAACTGCTCACAATGAAAACAGTAAATAAAAAAGGAAAATAGTAAAGGCATTGGTAAAGACACATGAATCCTTTTACTTCGATCTTAGTACATTGATATACTAAGTGAATGAGAATGATCGAACTTACTTCCTTGAATCTAGATAAACTTGAACTCGACTTTCATCCCACGTCAGAGAATTCAAGAAGCCGACTGTCATATTGACCATATCTGCAGCCATCAGGAACCAATGGTCACCATCACAAATGGGCAACAGTACCCACTTGAAGTTCTCCATGGGTATCTGGAAGAATGGATGATAAGCCATGAGCTATGTACGACATAGTTCCAATCAGAAAAACCGGATACATTCTTGCCATGTCTAGATTGAACATCAAGAAATAAAGAATTCCACCAACTGTGTACCCAATACTAACTCTTCATTCTCTTTGTTTTATTTTCGGAGGGGGTTGGATTTCCCCAATGCATGAAATACCAATTCGCATGGTCGCAGGAATTTACATCACGCTCTCTGCTGATGAAGCCAGACAGAGAGCAATCAACCTGTTAAATTGAGCACACAACCAGATTTGCTCAAATTTTAGCCATCTGGCTAACATCGTGTCTGCAAGTGTTTCATTAGGACCACATACATCTCTTCACCAAATGTTATGCATTCTGGAAGTCAAGGCTAATCATACGGAGGAAACCACTGTACATACTTTCTTATACAGCCAAGGCATTTGATTGGAACTGCCTTCTTCCATTTAACTGCCAAAAAGCTTGGTGGCACATAGACCGAATCTGGCTTGGCTGCATTGGCATCTTTTGAAAGCAAATCCAGGAAAACATGTATTACCTGAGAAAATAGCAAAATAGACCATTCAGTTAATATCGAACCATGGAACATGATTAATCAATTTAAACTATTAATTGTAGAAGCCATTCTTGACATTTATTTACTATAGTTTAAGTTTCCCGGCTGTGGCTGGTGATGTGGTAGTTGGAGCCTCGTTTTGAGGTCGGAAAGAAACTAGTTCATCTTCTCCAATATTTATACGTCCAACCAATCACAGGGTCGACATTATAGAGCAATACTACATACAGTACACGTGTAGCGGTTTTAGCTCTTAGCGACTGACCCGTGACCGTGTCTTTACCGCATTCGTCAGTTATGTCTAGGGGTGTAAAATATGTCACCGCCGCGTGTAAAACCCGCCTACAAATTAGATCGATATTGCTATAGTTTATATATTTGTCGTGGTGTCAATGCGGAGATAGAGAACGAAATTAGATGGTAGAAACATTTATAGTTATTGGTAACGTAAGAGATATATCTTTAATTTAACATGTAAACAACGTACAAGGAATCACACTATTTACAACAATTCACTCTATAGTTCTATAACAGTTCATACAGACAGTTTACTTACTATATATCCTAAGTATTATCTCGATCTCTGTCGAATCTCACTCTTTAGTTATCACCGTATCGAACTCTTACTCTTTAGTTATATCCTCCCAACTCCCCAAATCGAACTCTCTCTCTCTCTCTCTGTTTAGTTATATCCTCCCAACTCCCCAAATCGAACTCTCTCTCTCTCTCTCTCTCTGTTTAGTTATATATCCTCCCAACTCCCCAAATCGAACTATCTATCTCTCTGTTTAGCTATTCTCCAACTCCCCAAATCGAACTGCTACTATTTACTTATTCTCCAACTCCCCAAATCGAACTGCTTTCCCCCCTGATTTACGCTCTATTTATTTAATCTTGACAATGGTAAATGTAAACACAATCAGCTGTTCGCTTCTAGATGTCACGTGGGTTTCACCAACCAATCAGCGTGACGTTGACATGACAATGACGTATGTACAAACATGGACGAACGCTGGACGAACGATGGACGAAATCTCGTCACCTGGACGAGAAAACGGACGAACATGTAAACAGACGGTAATTGTATGTATTGAAAGCTCACCTAAATATATCCTCTCTATGTTGTAACTATTGTTCACCCTCCCCCCGTTACTGCACTTAGAACTTTCTACATTCCCCCCTTTGTCGATCAAGACCGTCCTCGGTCTTACGCCTTATAATTCCTGCCTGTGCTTACCTCCAAAATACATACAATAAGTTAATACAACCTACTCAATACTTTTCCCCAAAGTACATACCATACTTTAACAATTTCTAAAATGTACACTCATTAGCCCCAAAAGATTCAAAACACAAGGATTTCCAAAAGTACATACATTGACACAATAATTTAACACAATATAGCATACACTGTCACTGGTCATTAATACATTCAATAATTTAACGCAATATAACATACCTAATACATTCAACAATTTAACACAATATAACATATCTAATACATTCAATAATTTAACACAATATATACATATCTAATACATTCAATAATTTAACACAATATATACATATCTAATACATTCAATAATTTAACACCATATATACATACATACCATCAACAAACCAGAATCCCTTATAACCCCATCATTATTTCAATTAATTTTTACAACCCGTTTAATCTTCCCTAACAATTTGATTCATTAACGACTTTACATACTCCTTTAATCCCTCTGGTACGGCTTCCTTCTTCATTTGTGCTGCTCCAACTACTAGCTCCCGTATCCTCTCTTCCAGTTTCCGCTCTCGCTGCTGTCCCTCCTCGATTATCCTCTTCATATTCCTGACTTCCTCTTCTCTCTTCTTTTTCATCTCTGCGCTTCGCTCCACCTCTTCCCTATGTTTTCGCTCCCTGATCTTCTTCAACACCTCCTTCTTATCTTTCCACATCTTCCAATTTTCCACTGCCTTCCCAAATTCATTCTCATATCCTTTAATCATGTTTTCTGCGTCTAATAATTTCCTGTCCAATTGTTCTATCCCCAACTCCTCTCGCTGTAACATCTCTTCATCATAATCCACCTCTACCTCCGACGGGAAAATTCCAGTCATCGGTAGTTCCTCTTCTTTTGTTTCCTCCGCTATTTTCTTCCGCTCCTCTGCCGCCTTCTCTCTTCCCACTCTATCCACTACGGGTCTCTGTTTCTCCTGCTCCTGCCAACCTTTCTTTCCCCACTTCTTATAAATGCCTTCCTTATCGATATAGGGTAACTGGTTTGGCAACCATATATATGGCCGGGCGTGGACTGGATAGGCAACTAAAGGCTTTGACACCTTATGTACCTTTACCAGGTGCCGGTTAATGTCATTTACCCTTAACTTTCTCTCATTATTGCAAACGGGGCACACCTGCCACCGCTGCATCCGTGCATGTCGTTCTCCATAGTGCTTCGGGTAGTGCATTGGTTTGAGACTCACCCCACACCCTGGCACTGGACATACACTTTCCACCACTATATTCTTACTGTCTACGGCGACACTCTCTCTAACCTCTCTCACATTCTCTCTCTCCTCTTCAATTAGTTCACTCCGTTCGTCCTCATCTAATCCAACCACTAGCAGGATAAAGATGCTCCGCGACTGAAAAGGGCCCACTTACACTAGAAATAAAATCAAGTAAAAATAGGTTAATGGAGAATGGTCTGGGAATACGGCCTGAAAATCTGAAAAAAATGATAGAAGAGACAATGCATGAGTCAATACTGGAACAAGGACAGGCTGATCAGCTGGTCCAGCTTGTCGATTCCTATCAAGACATCTTCGCCGGTGAGGATGGTCAGTTGGGTTGCACGGACTGGGTTAAGCATAGCATAGACACTGGAAGTGCACGTTTTATTAAGCAAGCACCTCGTAGAGTACCGTTAGCGAAACAGATAGTGATGGATCAAGAGATTGAGAAAATGTTGAAAGCGGGGATTATCGAAGAAAGTAGTAGTGCTTGGTCTTCACCCGTGGTATTAGTAAATCGCCCGGATGGTTCAGTACGGTTTTAAGGTTGCAGAGGTAGCGGGATTATTGAAAGGCAGGAGAGCATTCGTTCGAAGGGGAACAGACGGGAGGCTTTGAGATTGCTGACCTAAACGGTTCTGTATAAGTCCACGTAGGGCTGCCACTTGTGAGGTTAAGCTAGCTAGCTCTGAACGTACCGCTTGGACTTCTGTCTTCATCGACTCCATAGTCGTTGACAAGTGGGTAATTTCTCCGATTAAATCATCTCCCCTCTCTCCGTCAACCTCTTGACGACGTCTCTTAGTTTCGCGCTTCCTCGTAGCCTGTGCGGGATAAACTACCATAGGAGTTGTTTCCATCGTTCCTTCCATCGACTCGGCGGTTGTGGAGCTGCTGTCTTCGGTCGCGTGGAGTTTCTCTACGAGATCAGATTCTAGATCTGCCTCAGGAGCTTTGGAGCGTGTGCGGGTTGCCATGTCGGCATGTTGCCATGTCGGGTTGCCATGTCTTCTTACTGTCTACGGCGACACTCTCTCTAACCTCTCTCACATTCTCTCTCTCCTCTTCAATTAGTTCACTCCGTTCGTCCTCCTCTAATCCAACCACTAGCAAATCCGTTTGCTCAAGTTCTTCCATCTCTGCCATTAATTTCGCAAGGATGCTCGTCGCCTCCTGTTCCTCCATCTGCAACAACATACTCAGTTGGTACTACACGAACACTCAGTACTATACTCAATAACATACATGAATGGTCAGAGTGACTGCTGACACCTTCTTCCCCCACTAAATTGAAAACATCGTGACGTCCTCGTCATATCGTTACTGTATCGTCCTCTACTTCCCACCGAATTCACCATTGACCTTTAACACGACTCGCAATCACCACTGACCTTTAACACGGCTCGTAATCACCATTGACCTTTAACACGGCTCGTAATCACCATTGACCTTTAACACGGCTCTTAATCACCATTGACCTTTAAGGTCAGACCAAACCCAAAATACCAAAAATTTTTATTAGTTAAGATAGTGACTCCAAATTTTCAGGGTAAATACTTAGTATTTATTGCAAATGAAAAAAATGTGTTTTAGCCTCGTTTTGGAATCTAGGTCACGTAAATCCAAGATGGCCACCATCAAAAAGTGTACTTCTTTATTTTTGCTAAAGCATCAAAACTACTCAACACAATTAGATAAAACTTGGCAGAAATGATCAAAAGGGTGTATTCTATAAAATGAACTATTATCAGTTATGTAATTTGCCCCGCTTTAAAATTTTGGGATAAACTGTCATTTTCATAAAATGTGGACAAGGCTTGACTCTATTCCACTTCATAGATTTAAGTTATATCACTTGTATCATGCTGATCTAGTTCATTTTACAGGTTTATACCTCAAGATAATACCTCCAAATTTCAGATAGATAATCTGTAGTAGTTTGAGTAGTTCCAATTGATACAGGCTGAAATGCTGTAAAATGCGAAACTGAGAAATCAGCCTCGAAAGATCACAAACAGCCAAAAGTATACATTTAACTCATAGAAGTAGTCCCATACATGCTAATTATGACATATCAGTCGTCATCTTCATTTTTATATTATGTCCCTGTTTTTTTCTGCGTTTTTCCTTTATTCCTGACGTTCACCCCTTTGGGCGGCAGCCACACGCCCAGCATCCCGACATCGCATCATTGCCAAACAAGTGTGGCCAGGTTCTATGCCTAGTCTTTAAGGATGGCAGCACTAGCACATTCACCATCATTAAAAAGAACTGTGGCATAGTTCACAGATATCTCAAGTCGCTGCCTCCCAACAAATTGGGCATAGGTCCCAAATAATGTGATGAAAAGACTCATTGTTATTCTGTGTATCCCCGTGTAGACATTTTGACAGCAAGCGGTTCATCACTGACTAGGATCTCAAACACTGGTTTGATTTCTTTGAGTACAAAGTCAGGCAAAACATTCTTTTTTGCCTTTTCCAAGTCACCTTTTTCAGATGCCAATTTGAGTACATGTTCATTGAAATGACTGCTCAGATTGTCACATACAACTATCTTCCGTCCAGTTTTCGTTCTCACAGCAGGCAAAAAGACAGTGGTAAACCAGTCTGCAAAACAGGTACTGTCAAACCATCCGCTCGAACTTCTATTGTACCGAGTGCCTTTTGGGCCACCTTCCATCCATCTGTCCCACAGGTTTTCGGCCTTATAGACGACATAACACGGAAGCATCTCCACTAATGCTGAACCACAGTACATTATTGATATGGCTCCTTTGTAATAGTTCGCAATTCTCTCCGGATACTTCACACCACGTTTAAACACACACCGTTTGTTCCTAGCATTATCTGATAGATTTGTTTCATCATGATTGTAAATGCAGCCGCGTGCAACTGCAATCTACATCACCTCCTTTTCCATGGACAGTTTTTTGGAAGTTTTCAAAAAGCGTTTTAACCTCATCTGCATTAGCAGCAGCATGATCTGTGGTGTATTTTGAGTAGAATCCAGGAAATAGGGGCAATGGTTTTCCAACTTCTGACTGCAGCAACCAGTAAAAATCAATGACAAATAGAGTTGGTGTTTTCTCTGATTCCTGATGTTTACTTAGTGCTGATAGATCAAAGCTGGCTTTCTCAAGCTGTTTGTAGTATGGGACAATTGCACGATCTTTCCCATCTAACTGTCGTCTCTTCTTGCCAACACGGATGCCAGTAATTGGTTCATCATTGACATCTTCGTTTGTGGTTGTGGTGTTTTGCATATTCTGGTATCAGAACCCAGCTGTAGCATGCAAGGTGTCTTTTCCGTTGAGGTTGTCCATATTAACGGCATAGTTATCCCATCCGATCCCTGTGCCTAGGTTGTCTTGCCGTTTCACACCGTCAGGAGTATCTTGATCATTTTCTTCTATTGAATACGCAAACTCAGTCTCCAACGCCTTGACCTCATCATAACTTATGGAGTTTCCCAGACGATTCAGGATACACAAGAACAATTTGGAACCAGTCAAAGTACCAACTCCCAATCCAAGCACCGTGCTTTATTCAAACACAGAATGAAGAAACTTGATCAACCAACAATAAAGCAATAAAAATATAGTTGACAGAAATAAACCTAAAAAATTTGCATTTAAAGTTTGGAACTTGTTACTTGGTGCCTGAACGTGCACGGACGCGTTGGTGCGTGGACGTTACAGTACATCATTTTTGACGGACATTTTTTCATCTTTTATTGTCAATTAACCAGTTATTATTACTATTTCTATACTCAACGCTATTTATAT